AAAACATGACTGTGAATGAGAGCCTTCATTTGCCCCCCTTAACTGGTAAATTAATTGCTGAATTTGTAACTGTCGATCCTTGTGTCACTTTCTCAATTCAAATCTCTCAATACGTGATCTACTTCAATCAGCTGCTTTTCAAAACAGGTTAATTGCAATTGCCATTGTCTGTTAGTGACAAGGGACAAGTTATGTAAACCAGTAATCTGGACAATGTGCTAGACCTGCCCTTGTCAGAGTCATTATAAATTGGTTTGTGGCTGACAAGTAGCCTATGTTTTGTGTAGTTGGCCTGTGACAGCTTTCTGGCTGTCTGGTTTCTGTTGTGTTAATGTTGTAAAATAAATTTTCTGATTCTTTTTGAAAAATTTACTCCTGTGAGGTAGTCCGCCCCGACCTACCTCCGGGACCTCATCCTACCCTACACACCTGCTCGACAACTTCGCTCTGCTACATCCAGACACCTCACTCCTGCCACCAACAGAACTTAAGGCCCACGCTCCTCTCATCATTGTTTTTCCATCATGGCTCCTCAGTGGTGGAATGAACTCCCCACCCCCTGAGAACAACTCCTTCAATCCAACCTTTCAGACATGGGCTGAAGACACACCTCTTCATATCTGGACTGACACCAATGCCATTTGACCTTGTAAACTCTAAGATTCTTGGCTCATACTTTTAGCACTATCTCTTATGTTGTATTTGTAGCATGCCTTTGCCTAGGTAGTATAGCAGCACTTTATTGTCCCAGTGACTGTATTTGATGTATGTAACCTCAGATCAGATTAGCTCTGTCTTGCTACACTGACCTTGTGCTCAGCTTCAGCACTATCTGCATTGTATGATCTGTACACATCTTGCTCTTGTGCCTGTTGTTTGCCCACTATTTGCACCTTTGTACATCGCTTTGGATAAAAGCGTCTGCTAAATGAATAAATGTAAATGTGTTTTTAACATTTCTATTTAATTATTTGTGTGTTTGAGGAGCGTTGGCCAGCTTCTTTACAGTGTCTGCTGTTGTGTTGGTCAATGACCAACCTGTTGATATGAAGCAATACAAACGTCGATATCAAAGACGAAGGAGGAGTAGGTCTAGTGTCGCTTTGTGGGTTAACGTCCGTCAATCCATTACATTACATTACGTTACATCTTACCCAGAGCGACTTCCACGTAAGTGCATCACTATGCTATGAAAATATCAAACATAGCCTACACTGTCCATACGTGTATGAATGATATTTTCAAACTGAAAAACGGAAAGAGTGTGATTTTTTGCGTTTCACATTCGGTGATTAAAAAAAAAAAGAAAACACGGGGCACGGAACCACGGACCAACCGTGTGGCGTTTTCGCTTGAACTTGAACTTGAACTTTTTGGTCATGTGGTTTCATCTATGCTGTCCTTAAAGAATCTCGGCATCATTCACAAAAGCAAAACACTTCCGGGATTGAATTTACGGTGCAGCCGTCACTGCTCCTAGAAATCGTGATAGATTTGGGGTATTTGTAGTCTCGGCTGACTGTTAGGCACTTATATAGGCAGCATAATGTTTGTTCTAGGAAAAGAAGAGTTGAAGTTGGCAGAAAATGTACTAAAAGGATTATTTCCCGAATCAATTAAGGTAAACTTTGTTCTTTTGTCACTATATTGACTGAGAATTAAAGTGACTGCTGTCTTCACCCTCCGTTGTGTAGTTGTCAAGTTTGATTGATAGACAGAGCATAATCTCATTTTATTCTCTGTGACTTCATAAATGAATTCCATGTTTAATTTCCCATTAATTTGTTTTTATAAATAAGTTTTTTTTTTTTTTTTTTCTTTCACTACTGGGTAACTGTATTTAAAATCAAATAATATTTGAGGGGTTTACATGATTTGTCTCAGATTTACTATAAATTGATAGTCAGTATTCTCCAGTCATTCATATGACTTAATATGAGCCAATGTTACCTGTAACAAATTATTTTAGGCCCCTGTTTCCTGACATATTTGGATCTGGAAATGTAGAAAACAACGACGGCTAAAATTTGAGTTATATTTGAAATGGATATCTCCTAATTGATTTAGAATACAGTGCCAAAACTTAAACAGATTTGTTTATCTGAATGGAAACATTGGTTAACAGTTTGAGATGAATGAGAAATGACCCTACCATCTGAAGTGACCTCTACTTTCCATTACCCTGACATTATAACACATCTTTGTATTGTAATTGTCTAGGTGTATGGCTGCCTCTTTAATATCAACAGAGGCAAACCACATAATCTGGAAGTCATCGCTGATTCCTGGCCAGAATTTAAAGTTATCATATGTAAGCAAAAACAACAGGTGCGTAACAAAAACAGACAATCTGTAACACTTCATGTCCATTTTACAAATGATCAGCTCTTAACCACATATGTTTCCAGAGTAGAAGAATTCTCATATTCTTGAAACTGTATGTTTTTCTTGGCCGACTGGATTTGTTTCATTGGAGGGAAAGGTGACAAACCTGTATTCCTTATTGTTCCTGTTAATATAAAAATCATAAAAGTCCCACCTGTGTACCACAGAGGCACATGCAGAGTTTGGGAACATTTGTACAGCATTCATGTCACTGTTTAATCTGTATGTTTTAGTCAACACAGGATTCTCTGGATCGGGAGGGGGATTTTAACATATACAGCATCTACTCAAAGGACAAGGAGAGCTTGCAAAAACTGCTTGGCACCTCTGGTATTGTCAGTTGGAGCCGATTTACTTTATTAGCAGGTGAAAATGAAAACATAGCCTTGCTTATACAGCTACAACAAGTTGCCAAGAGAAGCCACACTGCAGTTTGTAGAACTTGGTGTAAATTTCACTATATACCATGATGGCTGTAAAGCTGAAGTTTTTTAGGTTTTGGTTGGGAGACTACGAGTCTTTCTCATGCTAGATGTAATTGTATTTGCATACATTATAATTTAAGAGGCCTGTGAGTAATTAAGCAAAGTGTTTGTGTGCCTCTATTCAAGGTGTTGATATCAACCACTTGGATGCAGTAAAGGAACTTGCTGTTCAAAACAACACACCCACAGAGACAGTGGCAACCATGTTTGTGTTGATGCTGGAGGATGCCAGCCATCTCAAGGACCCTGAATGGTAAAGAGGCAGTGCTGTGCCCAAACTGTGGTACATTTGCAGGCAATCTAAATTGACAACTGGGTATGAATGTCACCATCAGAGCTGTGTAAATCAGTCTCAAGCTTTTGACCTGAACTGTGACACAATTTCTTTCTCTCCTTAGCGACTTCACAAGTAGGATAACCCCTCTCATCCCTTCCCATGCTGAGCTGGTCAACAGCACCTGGAAGTATGGAGGAGATGCATACAGCTACAAATCTGTGCTAAACTACATCTCCAACTACCCAAGCTTGTGTGTGATGGATGAAAGTGGCAGGCCAGTCTCCTGGCTGCTGCTTTATACACACTGTGCCTTGGGCCTTCTCTACACCATGCCTCAGTATAGACGCAAGGGCTACGCCAAGCAGCTGATCACCATCATGGCCAGGCATCTTCTGGAGCAGGGCCACCCCGTGTACTGCTTTGTGGAAGAGGGCAACGACATGTCCTACAGGTTGTTCACATCCCTGGGCTTTAGGCATAAACCAGATTACCGTGCAGTCTGGTTTCAACTCAATCGCCGATGAGTGTCTCAGTTTCTGGAGGAAGGTGTCTCCAATCTTGTCCAAGCATGCCTTTTTGTTTTGGAATTGTCGCAAAGCACATTGAGAGACCGTGAAGAGAAGGTTCCAATGAAGTTTTCCCAATGCAGGGAGGCAACGTGACACTATTAGAGTGCAGTATTAGAGCAACATAACACTGGTACATTAAAATTGACATTGTCTTACTGTCTTGTTAAATTGCAGCGGTCTTTTATTCTTACTAGTCCTGTTTAAGAGTAACTGGTTGTAATACAGAACAATTCCAAAAATGAAGAGTTCCACAAAAATGTGCTCCTTTCATGATTTTTCCCTTGCACATCAAGGTTTGGTACAAAGCTAAGCAGGCATGCATGGGTACCTACTGTGTCAAATGCCTGACATTATCCGATTACATCCTGTGTAAATGAGGCATTGGGCCAGCTGGCACTGTTAGAACTGGATGAAACAGAAGCACAATTTTGACTGTTAATGAATATGTAGTTATTTTTGAAAACATTTGGAAAGAAGATGACCAACATAAGTCCAATAATTGCCTTACATTGCTAAAATTGCTAAATTTAAGGTTTCTCTTTTTGTTTTGTTCAAAATAAACATGTACACAAAAGGCATGTAAATACATGTACCGCTTTTGATTAATCCCACAAAGGCCTTCACAGTGAAGACATTCATAGTGCAACATCTTTAATATACATGCAAGTTTGTGCAAAGAAATAATTGTAATAGCAGTCCATCTTTCTAAAACTTGAAAAAAGTTTCACCATCATGACAAACTGATTAGTGAAACAAAATACAAACAGGAAATGCTCTGCATTTTACAAAACAAGTAAACAAACAAACCTATTAGGGGGCTTAGTGATGCCACTCAGCAAGGCAAAGGACAGCATTTTGATGGTCAACTACTAATTTATTTTTGTTAAAAAATTTAATTATCCCATACAGGAAAAAAATACATTTGATATATTTTTGATGAGCACTTTTGTAATATATGTAAATATTTGATTTACATCAAAAAAATTTTGGCCCAAAACAAAATTGGCCCAATAAATATATTTTATTGAAATATATGTCAATAGATCTACTAATTAAATATATTTACTTATATGTATATTTCTGTTTGTATGTCACATATATGTGCAGATATTTTTGACTTTGAGATAATAATATTTCACATAAAACAATTATTGTTATTAGCATGTAGCAGACACTCTTACCCCAAGCAGCTTACATCAGTTACAATGTTATCCATTTATACAGCTGAATATTTACTTAGGCAATTTGGGGTTAATTACCTTGTCCAAGGGTACAACAGCAGTGTCCCAGCGGGGAATTGAACCATCAATCTTTTGGTTATAAGTCCTGCGCCTTAACCTCTACGCTACACTGTGAAATATATATGTATATATTGTAGTAATAATGGAATGAAGAAGCTGTTGTGTGTATATTTTGTAAGTCCAGTGTTGGACACTGTGTGTATTCTATCTTAATATTGTATTATTTCACTGTACTGGAATAGTTAATATATTTTATATTAGATAAAATATATTACTATAGTTAATATATTTTACTCATGGACCGTCCTGAATAATTCCTTGGTTTTAAATATTTGTTCCTTGTGATCCTTTCTAACATTTGTCTTGCTGCTATATGGTATACTAAATGTTAATTTTTTTTTATACTCACACTTCAGAGTCATCGAGGTGCTACACTTTCCAATTTGTATGTATAGCCAGCGGGGCTGGGCGGATACGGGACATGGGACACTTCCTGTAACCGAGAACTACAAGTTGCATACGGCTAGGCGACTGTTCTAAATTTCCGCAACCATACAGAGAAGATGCCGCTATGTAAGGCTGTCATTGTTCCAGGGAATGGAGCTGGAGACGTGGAACACTGCAACTGGTATGGATGGGCCAAAAAAGAAATAAATAAGGTAAACGAAACACAAATGTGTCTGCGTTTGCTGGCTAGCATGCTAGCTAGATAGTTTCTAGCTAGTTAGCTATAGCTACCTGGGTACGTTAGTTAAATAATAACGAGCAGAAGACCTCTTCTTAAGCCAACACTTTAGCTAGCAATTACTAAAGCTTCTCGCTATTTTGCAGTTTTCTGTTTCCAGTGGAATTTGCTACTAATGGTCCTCAAAAAACTCATATTTCCAGTTCTTAGCACAATGTTCTTTACTCATCGCACAGTATGCGCTGATTACTTTTAAGTTGAGACACTAATATGTACAGCTACACGGATGTATTGCTAATATCTGTCATGTCTATCTCACAGATGCCAGATATGATTTGCCTGCTTAAGAACATGCCTGACCCAGGTAAGCTAAGAACAACAGCACAAAATTCTTGTCGATTCGAGGGCTCCTGTTGCAGTTTCACAGTAAAGACAGGTTGTCCGTCGTTAATGCAGTGACAGCCAGGGAGTGCCTGTGGTTGCCCTTCATGGAGAAGGAATTGGGGTGCGATGAACAGACGGTGATCATTGGCCACAGCTCTGGAGCTGCAGCCGCTATGAGGTACAGCTTTGCTCCATTAACATTACTCAACGACATACGGCAGAATACTGACTGGATTTGATATGTAGTTAGGAGCATTACATGGCGCTGGAGGCTGAAGGGGCGTTCACGGTTGCTTTGGTCCCTCCTGGATGTGAACTAAAAGGCATCAGCATATTAATAATGCAGTCTGTGTCCTAAAATAAATAAGAAGTCAAAGTTCAAATGGTCTGACACATCTGCAGAGCTCTTCAGTAAATGTTTGAACAATTGAGTGGTACTTGGTACACAGACATTTTCAATAATATGCAATGGTTAAATACATAAAACTGTCCCACGGTTCTCTGTGGAACTGCTGTGAACAAGTTTTTTTTTTATGTCCAGGTATGCAGAGACTCACAAGGTGCATTCCATTGTGCTGGTGGGTGCCTACACCTCAGACCTGGGTGACAAAAATGAAAGAGAGAGTGGTGAGTTGAGATGCTATGTCTTTTTTGATCTTTTGATCAAACATGGCTGTGAAATTTATTTCCAAGTTCATATTTCCATTTCTTTCTGACAAGGACTTGACAATGAGCAGTACCAGACTGGCAAAGGTATCACACATTTCCTTGAGGGCACTGTGTAGGGTTTTATTTAACTCTCTGTTCTTAATTTAATTTTTTAGCTCATTAAAGCAGATATTTCTACATTTTGTGAAATTTAAAACACATAAGGAATTCCTTACACTCATAAGGAATAGGCAGCTTCTTGAAATAAGAATGCATAAGTATGAATGTTTTGATGTTGATTAACTTGTTAGACCAAATAAATAATAATCTCACAGATGGACAGCCAGCTATTGAGTTATTAAGTAAAGTTAAACTAAGCTATTAAGACACCTGTGGGCTGAAGGACCAGGTCCACTGTGTCACACATGCCTCTTATCCTCTGTGAAAAATCCTTTTGCTTCTCTCCACTTAGGTCTTTGATAGCGTATCACATGGTTTTCCCTCAGGGTACTTCAGCCGGCCTTGGGAGTGGGAGAAGATCCGGGGAAACTGCGCTCACATTGTGCAGTTTGGCTCCACGGATGACCCCTTCTTGCCCTGGAGTGAGCAGCAGGCAGTGGCCGATGGCCTGCAGGCACAGCTGCACAAGTACACCGACCGCGGACACTTCCAGAACACGCACTTCCCCGAGCTCATCCTCACTGTGCACAAGCTCAGGGATGCTGAATGAGCAGCAACAAGGAACCTGGATATTCCTTCTGTCACATCAACGAGACAGCTGCTATGGACTGATAGTGGTATTGTGCTGGCTATTAAATCAGGTGGGATTACAAGTACTGTATGTAAATTATGCAAGTCTTAATATAATGAGCATGCATAGATTTAATCAAAGAAAGCATTTCAGAATTTGCAAATCTTGAGAATATGTTTTGTTCCTTTTACCTGTAGTTTGAGTGCCCCATTTCACTTAAGTGCTCATGCCCCAAGGTATGTTGTTCCTCACCATTCTGTATATTTCATTATTGTTATTTAGCAGAGGCTCTTATCCAGAACGACTTACATAGGTTACAGTTCTGACATGTAATCCATTTATACAGCAGGATATCGACCAAGGCAATTGTGGGTTAGGTACCTTGCCTAAGGCTACAATGGCAGTACCTCAGCGGGGGATCAAACCAGCAACCTTTTGGTTACGAGCCCTGCTCCTTACCACTGCTTACCATGCTACACTGCCCACATAGGCAGTATAAGTGGACTTGGTAATGATTGGGACTACTGGATTCTGACTTGGTGTTATATAAACTGCAGGGAACAAATCCTTTTTGCCTGGATTTAGTTAGTATGTTTCACTCAAATAAAGAACCTTGACAGTTACATTTTGTAAACATATTTTATTTCATATTTCACTGAAGCAACAACTCACTTCCCCTGTATAAATTAAGTACATCACTGGGGCTAACCCAGGCTTGTTTATAGATATAAATAATGATTGGATTAAGACAGGATTTCATTTTAGGCTCTAGCCACATCCCAAACTTGTTTAAATCAGTAGTGCCTATAAACCTGGTGGACAAACCTTGAGGTCACTTACTGTACAGGGAACTGTTTATTAAGGGGTAAGCACAATGAAAGTAAATCAGCATCTACACACAGATGCTCTTAAACCAAGACAAACTGCTCCTCCATGAACATCAGTTATTTTAACCTTGAGCCACTTAATGAGGAAAGACTGTTTCCATCAATGCCCTTCTGTAGATTGGCTGCTGGGTGACAACATTTGGCCAGGTCCACCTGCACTGGCCTTCTGCAGACAGTCAGGTGGGAAACCAAGCTAATCATGCTCCTGGTACAGAAGCTGGATAGCAGCTGCCATACAAAATATTTTCTCAAAGGTCCAGCCATGAAGACGTACAACCTCAGCTTCTCTGGCCTGTATTGTCTTTATAAAGAGGAATGACTAAGTGTCAGTGTACGTATCTTGCACAAAATAAAATGATAAATCTAAAGCAGTTGAAATAAAAATATCCAGTGACAACATTCCAGCCTTTAGCAAACACCGTTTGAGTAATACTCTCTTCACACAACAGAAGAAAAAAAAATAGCCTTTGGTCAAAAATCCAGCCACTCAGTCATGTATATGCAAGTAGAGGGTGAAATCTCTCCTCCTTCATGGCAGTCATCAAACACCTGAACAAGAGAGAGGGAATGCATACATGAAAGGGTGATTGCTGACAAGCTGCAGTCACGGGAATGTAAAGCTTATTTCAGTTCATCCATATCAATAGACAAAGGTATTAGAGAGCATTAATGCAATATTAAATCCAATGTCTACTTCACTTGTAAAGTGATTAAAGCTGAAAAATGTTACACTATTAATATATCCAGTGCTTTAATGAAGGATGTTTTCAGGTTTTGCTAAGATGACAGAAAAAAAGAAATGAAAATGATGGTTTCCATCTGCAACAATGGGCATTCTGCATGTCTGACAAAACTGGAAAACCATCAGGTGAAAAGACTTACAGGACAGAGGCCACATGGGGTCTTGACCAAGCCCGTGGGCTGAATGATGGGGTTGACGCCTCTGTACAATTTCATTTGGCCATCCACGCTGCCCACCGTACCCTCCTTGGCTGCAATGATGGTCATCTCCACCTTGCCATCGTAGATCAGCGTGTTCAGGATAGTCTCTATGTCTTCCATGGAGAGCTCAACCTGGAACAGCGCAAGATGGCTGTCTGGTTTTGACTTGTACAGATTTGTACCAAAATGCACAACTGTACTTGGATTTACCTGGATTTTGATTTGTTCTTTTGAAATACTGTTCTGATCCCTACAGTCATGTCTTCAATTCAACCCGGTGTTTTGAAATCAAAGCATGTTCCCAATGTTTCTGTAATCTAGAGACAAAGCTGCACAGAATTTAAATGATCTGGATACCACATCTCATGATTTGTGCCTGCTCTAAGCCAGTCAACATAATATAAGAATGTGCTGAGATCCAGGGCAAGCTTTCTGCTTGTGGATGAGAATCAGTCAACAAGCATGTGCAGTGCCAGTCCACTAACCTACATTAATGTTTGTGTTCAGATTGTGTAAATATCAGTGGATGTCAGCAGTGCCTGCTTTGAGCTTCTGCTTGTGGACAAATAGTTTTTCTCTTGGTGACAGACACTTTGAACACATGCTTCAGTTCATTATTACTGGGTTTGTTTCAGGACATAGAAGACGTAGGAACAAGACTACCAACTCTTTCCAACCAAAGGGAGGAAACAAAATATAAAACAGTTTTTACAGTGCAGTTTCCCTTTGTGTCAAAAATTGCTTCACTGCACAGGCCTCTACATACTACTGTAGCCCACAGAACCCTTTAAAATGAGGAGGATGTAGAGCCTCCTCT